CTTGAATTTTTATGTATTTTTGCGCAGCTGCGAAGTGAGAACTGAACTGATTGAATGAGAAATATATCTCTAAGTGCTGCAAAAAATGTGTGTAAATTAATTGGACCTATAAGGAAATCATGTATGCCCACAGGAGATTTTCTATATAGAGTGTTACTGTGTTTCACTCGTAAATTTAGAAACATTTGTATAATATTTATGTTTTATAAAGAACACGCATGATAGGCAATGCTTTTCAACAGTCGGGCTGTAGTTTGGAGACCCCCGATTTAAACCATTAGATGACTCTACTCTTATTAGCGCCTTAAGATCACCAAATGTGGTGATATTTGTTCTGTGCTGGTTTTTGGCACGATTGCATGTTGTATGGCAACCCTTTTGACATTGAAACTCTTTAGCTGGAGTGATGTGTGTTTTGAAATGGCCTATGTTTCAATGACAGACGTAGTTGGAAGAGGGTCTGGGAGATTATTTTTTGTGGCTGTGCATGATAGAAGTAAGGAAACGGTGATGCAGTGTATTAAAGAGTAGATTGAGCCTTGTACAACTATTTTTTCGGATGGCTGGAATCTTACAAGGATTTAGAAAGAGAAGGCTTTGAACATTTTTTTGTGAACCATAGTATGGATTTTCTGGATAGTGTATCTGGCTGTCATATAAATATGATAGCAATTACGTGGTGGCATGAAATTGGTATTTCTGCTGTTCGAAAAATAATTCATTCATGGCAAGTGCATTTTATTTTATTCTTCTTATTTTGTAGAATGTTATGTTCATTGATTTTTTAGTAATGTAGACAAAAAATATAGGGTACTATTCGGTTTTGAGGGCCGTAAAAGATCGGCAATCTATTGTTGATGCCAGTGCTGCCAAAAATAATTGCGGTAACCTTAATGCAAGAAAGGAAGTATAATAGTAAATAACTACCTAAGATTGATGTTTTAATTTAGATGAAAGGTTAATTTCATATCATACTTTTTATTATTATGATTTATATAAAAAAGACTAAACATGATTGTATGGAAGCATAAGAGTAAATAACTAAATAACTATTTCAGATCATTATTCTAATTTGTATAAAAATTACTAAACATAACTGAATGGATGCCTGCATAATTTCATCTCATTGGTTGTTCAAACATAATTTTCTATAATGAATGATGCTTTCTCTTTGAAAAAATTCTTGGTAATGTGCAGAATGGCCCACTTATTTGTTTGTCACTTTCGCTTTTTACAAGGGTAAAAACAATTGGATTTTTGTCAATTTTCTTTTACTTTTTAAGTGAAAACAGGTCGATGTGTACAAAGATAAAGTCAAGCGTATGCTAAGTGCCATTTTTTTGCAATTCTGGGATTTTTTTAAAAGTGAAAACAAGTTGATGTGCACATGGATACCAAGTATGTGTAATTCTTAAAAACGCGTCAAGCAGTGGGTGACTCTGCACTTTACCCAAAATTCAATTGCAGACTTTTCGTCATGGGCAATTACCAATCCACAGGATATCAAAAAAGGATTTAAAAATTAAACTAGTATTTCAATGGTGTCTTAAGAAATATAGAACTATATAAACTTACACGATCTGAAATCAGCATGTACGCTAGATTTGGCACGCTGTTAAATGGTCGCGTTTGCTAGATTTGACACTTTGGCGCTTACATTTTTGCTGCAATTTTTTTACGGTCCTCAAAACAGAATAGTATCAAATTTAGATACAGTCAAAAGTCAGTCCGGACTCGTTGGGACTTCCGTGATTCTGGATTATCGATTTTTCCGGATTATAGATCATCAGTTTAAATCTAGTACGATGGCATGTAGATATTATAAAATTAAAAATATGAAACCGTAATTTATGAAATAAAGAACAATTATGATCTAAAGGGTATCAAAATTTACAAAAAAAAAAAAAAAAAAAAAAAAGCTTAATATTTATTTGTTTACTTTATTAAACATTTCTTTCAATGTAAGTTGTTTAAGTTGCTTCGTTATATGTGATAACACTTTCTCTTTAATTCTATAAACAGACATATTTTCTTCTTCAGTTACAAAGTTCCGCTGTTCAAGTCCTATAATTGCTGTGTCGAGAATACCGACTAATTTGTCAATCGAAATTTTTTAGTTTTCAATAACGTCTGTGTCACTTTCTTCACTATCGGGAAGCGAATTATAACGAGGAGGAATTTGATTTAAATCATATCAAAGACGGAGTACATCGAGATGAAATAATACATTTAGTAAGGAATTATAAGCCAAATAAAATAAAAACATCTGCCCTGAAGATAAGGATAGTGCTGACAGAATAACTTCCAATTTACTGCGCGCCACGCCTTCGTTGAGGACTTCCTAAGGGAAACTGGCTCGTATACACGTTACACATGAGGAAAACCACGAAAACACCCATGCAGCCAACCCGCTCGCACGGTTCGAACTACCAGTGTTCAGCGACTTTACCGCTCGGCCGCTGGTGGGCCTTCTTCAGGTAGTATCATAGGATCTAAAGATTTTACTTCTAATACATTTAAAGCTATATCACCAAAATGTAGTACGCAATCAATCAGAAACTTAATTTAATTTAATTTTAGAGTTAAGGATAATGGCCCCTTTTTGTACGGAGGAAGATTTTTGTTGATATTATCAGCATCATCATTGCTGAAATGCTTATAACAGGTTAGAAGAAGATAAAATATTCAGTATAAATTAGTTAAAGGGAGATAAAACACACCTACATATTTCACCAAGAAAAGGAAAAATTTGAATAATTCAACGAATTTTTATTGAATAAATCTTTGTGGATGAAAACCCGTATAAATTACCTACAGATATAACGAAGGTAAATTTATTGAAATCAATAATTATCATTATATTGAAAAATAAATACATAAATCAAACGGATACAAAATTGAGTTAAAGAATATAAAGCAAACGACGATGGAACAGATAATCACGTCACTATGATTTTTCAGTTTTAATGGCCTTATGTCAAAAAATATTTGTGTCAAAAATAAGAAATATAACCAAATAAATTTACAAAATGAATACAAAAATATCTATTCATACGACAGCTTCCAAGCCGCAGATTCTCTGACGCAATTCCAGCGCAAGAACACTCAACGAAACTAGAATTTGGAGGGAAAATTTAAGATGGTTGCCATTTACATTTCCTTTATGTATAAAACTACATAATCACATTATCTGAGGCCAAACACCACTTGAAAATGTTTCCTTTTGTCCTTTTGATTGAAATAATTAGACCAAGAAAATAAGTTAGAAGAAAATTTTGTGTATGACTTTATAACATTTTCTGTTTAATCTACTTACTGAATTCTTGAAATTTTGTAATTCATTTAATAAATTAAATCTTTGATTAATTTCCTGAATCTTTAATTCATTTCGCGAGCTGAAGATTTTTAACTTCTCCTTGGAATTTCTCAGATTTTTTTGAAGTAACATTTTCTTTTCCAATCTTTTCGTTCTGACTTGAAGTGAAACTAAAGCTATGGTTATGTTTAGTTATTTGTTTTGAGTGGTCTCCCGGTGATCACCGAGGCAAGCGGCAGCACGATCGCTGCGCTCCGTAAAAAAGTGAAAATTTTTCCTTTCCTCTTGGTGATTATCAATTAAATTTCTTTGAAAAATGTTTATTTTTCCTCTACAAAACCTATATCATTCCAATGAATTTCGGCTCCGATATTGACGAGAATAAAACAGCGGACAATGTAAGGATATACACCAAAAGCTTGGAATTTTAAGATAAGTACTTTTCTTTCATCTAAACTAAATCAAATTTCTATAATTAAGTGCCTTTAAATCAATAAAATTTAATTTTTCATTAGTTTAAAGCATTAAAAAATACTTGAAATTACTCATTGCTTGTGGCTTCCTTTGTGTATCAACTTCAAACGGACGCCAACGTTATCAGTTCATGTCTGTCACCACTTACAAGTCCTTAAAGAATCTCGTGAGAGGGAAAATTTGGGGATGAGAGGGAAAATTTGATCATCGCGCTATTTCCCTCTCGGATCTTCTGGATTCTCTTTTTAGATCGCTTTTATATAGTTTCGCCTTTAAATAATATTATACCTCACCGATTTTTTCTCATACTGTTCCTTGCTATCTGTTAATGTCCATATGTAAGGGATGGTTTATTCTTCACCGCCTTAAATAATTTTTAAAACTATGAGCTTATATAAAATAACAGTGGCTCATTGTGTTATATTACATTATTTAACTAGTAATAAATTATGATAGTAAAATAATTACTCTTGTAATAAATTATGATAGTTAAATGAATAAATACTGTTTATTGTGTTTTTAATACATATACGCAGTAATTTACACACTAAATATATATATATATATATATTATTTTATTTATTTAGTTATTTAATTTTTTGGGTGTATGCGGTTGTGGTCTTGTATTGTATTGGTTTCTATGTTGTTTAGTCTGCTGCTGCTTTTTTGAAAAAATGTATGAAAATGTTGAGAATGAAAGTAGCATAAGTTACTTTGGTTAAATTAATATTACTCTTGTTTGATGACCTTTGTTGATATCTCAGGATGCAAGCGTACATATTACTTTATATTCCATGCTAATACCTTATACGAAGCATTTTAACACCGTCAATATTGTTTTTCCCCAGTAACACATCTATTCACCATTACCAAACACACTCACTACACAACACACCTGTGAGACACTATTATTGTAAATGAAGACAGTTTCTTTTCCTTTTAACTACATTCATGGACACATCGTATTTTAGGATATTTTCTACTTCTTTTCCTTTTCTTTCTATAGGCCCCTTTTTTTTTTTTTTTTTTCTTTTTCCCTCTATTATTTTTGGGCCATTTATTTTAAATTTTATTTTGTCCCATCTTTCCTTCCTGGCCTTTTGAACTCGTACAAGATGTACGAAGTTCCTTTTTACTCTCCTCAAATACGAAATTGCCCCTCTTTCTATATACCTTTCCTTCGCACCTATGCTTGATTTTTCGCCCATCGGTGCAGAAAGACTTAGCGGGTGCAAAACAAGACATCTGTCTACTTTGTCTGTCTGTCTGTCTGTCTATTTGTTTTGAGTTCACAGAGCAGGTTTTGGCGTAGCAGGTGTATGTTATGGCATTTTCAAATGTGTTTCAATCAGGCCATGTGCCTAGTGTTTTAGAACAAATGTTGACAGAAATATCGTACCACAGGACTCGAGAAATTTCCCAATATGCTAGAGAAGGTGATTAACTTTTAGAATAAGCTTTAAATTTGTCAGAAAATTTGAATGTTTATAATGACTCATCTGGGTTTGTTTACTGTGGGAAACATGAATCATTCCTGGTGAGCTGCTGTGAATCGTAAAGTGAAACTCTGTGTGGCAAAGGGCTATTCTTATTAATTTATTTTTTTTTTTGTCCTTTATTTCATTGTCAAGAAACATAAGCCAAGCTTTTTGTAGTATGTGAAAATTATTATTGTGTGGAACATACTATTGTTATGGAATTCATTTATTAGTTACTTATTTTAATGTTTTTAATAGACTAAATTGTGTTCATGCTTTCATTATTTAATTTATTTTATTTGCTAATAGAAGTTATACAGCTATCCAGCAAAATTTAAACTAAAGTTTGCATTTATTTCTGCATTTTAAACAATAGAAATTGTTTTTTTATGATTTTGCTTTGAGGCCCAAATCCAAATGTTTCGAATATTCTTCCCAGAAATTGTATTGATGTTGCATTGAGTAAAAAGCATTTTGAATGTGTGTGGAAAGTGTTTTGAAGAATGAATTAATAACTTAGCTGTGGCATAGTAAAGGGATGGCCAAACTTCAAGGCGATGGGAGCTGCATGAGAACTTTCGAGAGCCACATATCCAAATTTATATAGTTTGAAAAATAATGAGACAGGTTTTGGATATAAAGAAATATACCTCTTCATTTATAACTTCTGTTTTATTTTAATAGAGATAAAAAGTTATTAAATTACAAATCATTATTTGAAAGAATTTTTTTTTTTTTTTTTTTTTTTTTTTAAGCTCAAAGGGCATTTTCCCAGAAGGGCTATTAATTTTGTTTTGGCATTTTGCATTGATTTGCTATATGCGGCTTATCACTTTTCAAATTCTTGCCATCTAATGTTAGAGCCCTGCATTATACTTAAAGAAATTAAATAATAAAGAATTTGCATAAATGTATGTATGTTTCTCGCATTGTGATAAAACAGCAAAACCTAGAGTCATCAAATTTTGAATAACATAATCCTCCACCCAAAAATGGGTATATGGAAGCCCCAATTTAGAATTTGTTGAGTTATCTGTTTCATATTTTGTAAAACTTAAACATATTTTTTATCAGCCAAAAAATCGATGATTTTTCAAGATTGATTGATACAGTATTTCAGCGTGGCATCCAAAGTAATCTGCCAGAATTGTTTAGTAATCGGTACACTGCACACCAATGAAAATTTTCAAAACTATTTTTCGAATCTCCCGAAAATTTGGACATAGATAACGGAGATAATGCATATCATTGAAAATTCTCTAAACTACCTCTTGAATCTACGATAACACTTCGAGCACATCATCCATCTGTCTATCAGGCAGCAAAATGCCTCTAACCTAGTGTGATAGTTATTGGCGATGCTAACCTATTGTCTCTAATCTAGTGCAGCAAAATGTATCTTACATAGTGGGAGGTGGGAAGAAAGAACGTAATCAAAAGAGAAATCGAAAAATATGAGAAAATATCACAAACTAAAGCGATTTCGCCAATATCAGTATGCCGATTTTGACAGAAACTTTAGAGAAGAGAGGTGCTTGTGTTCTGATGGTCCTTCATTGCTTGATGCAATGTTCCTCAGTCTTCTTTAAATTCTAAAAATTTTGCCTTCCTTAAATTCTGCTGCCTGATGTGATTGCATCAGCTGTGTCACCTGTAGTCTTGAGCTTAACTGAAATTCACTCAGCATCGGTGCAGAAGTGAAATCACAAATCAAGACTATTTGCATGCTTTATTATAAAAAATATCAAAGGTACAAGTGTAATGCATTAAAAAAAAAGTTGTTGATCTTTACATTATGGTAACTTGGCGATTTTTTGGCGAAAATTTGGCAACCAACTCTCCTACAGCAACCCTCTATTTTTTTTTCCCGCCGCCATTTTGTCTTCACGAATAGACATGTTTCTTTTCTTCTTCTACTGACACTTCTTCCAACATCTACTAGCCGCATTACACTTATGCTAGAAATTTTATCAAACAAAAATGCTTAATCATGACAAATATTCACTTGCAAACTTGGGAAAATGCACAATACCATACACCTTACGCGTTTTTTCAAAATACACATACACATAAACCATGTACACGCCGACTTATTTTTACTTAAAAAAACATCCCAGAATTGCAGAAAATGGCATTGCGCACACTCTTCACTATATCCATGTACAATGCTTTTTTTTTCATAAATTAGAAAAATTTCACGAAAATACATGACAATTTTCTCAATTTAAACCCTGTAAAAAGACATATATGAAATTACCTGATCGCGAAAAAGTATTTAGCCTTTACAAATATGAACATTTCCACATATAAAATAAATAAAATATCCAAAAACTTTTACCTCTAAATCATCTATTACATTATACACGTCACCACTAATTCATACCGCAAGTATTACAAATACTTAGTATCAAATATTTAAATTATTTCCATGCACGTTTATTTCAACTTAAACGTAAATTCCTACAAACATAAAATTCACAAAATAACTATCATTTCATTAAAAATAATTAAATTCAAAAAACACTACTTAAAATATAAATGAGCACATACATTAAATTAATAAAAATTACCTTACAATCCTAATTACTTTAAACTAAATCATTGCTAATAACAATTTTCCCAATAATACCAAATTCCTTTCCACCTTACATTTAGAACAATGCATAAAAATAATATCCTCAAATAATTAAAAATATTAACTTACCTAATCTTCTTCAGAATCTTGATTACGTGGCGGATACACTTTTCTAATTCATTCAATAAAATTATTGAAAGATTTTTTCTGCGAATTTTACCTCCATACTTCCTCCGCTAAATAAAAGCAAACTTCTCTTTATCACAATGCCTAAATACCCATTTCGAATCACTTTAGTTAGGGCCATGGGATCCAAAAATTACACAACACAGAATAAAGCTAAATACAAAATTTCCACATTTTTTCCCGATTTTCCCCCTTTTCCGATTAAAGAACCGTAATTCGTCCATTAATATCACATGACATATCCCATGATCTCTCATTTCCCTCACGCAAAATAATGCGTAATCGGAACTGAGTACTGCTCACATTATTACCAAAGTCCCAGGTAGTAACCTTTATCGCCTCCAAAATGTCACCAAACTACCAGTTACCATATTGTAAAGATCAACCAAAAAAGTTGTTAGTGATTCAGAAGATTACTAGCAACTTTTTTTCATCTAAATTTTGGATCGTTCTGGGTATTGGACGTCCAGGTTTCAAACTTTGTAGTGTAGTACACATTTTTAGAGAAATTTGAAAGCAATAACTGAAACCAGTTTTTGAAATTTCAAGGAGTGCTACTGTTATCTTCTAGAAATGAATTGGCTAGATAGGAATTTTTTAAATGTATTTCACGATACATTAGTTGCATTTGTTGATATTCCTTGCTTGTAGGCCATGTAAGATTTAATTTCCAGTCTTTAATTACCATAAGGTTTTATCTTTAAGGATATTTTTTAATTAATGGGGCAGCAGTTTTAATGTTTGCATGAAATGTAGCTTGAAATACTAATGGTAATTCTATGCTTAAAAATGTAATTAGTCATGGATATTTGAGAAACATAACAATAGTAAAAAACTTAAATTTCTCATATTGTGAGCCAGCTTTGTTTCATTATAAAATTCCCAAATATTTATTTGTTATTGTTATTCTTGTCTTTGTAATTTAATATAATGTATGTGATTGACAGCTTGTAATTTTATTAATATTTCAGATTCTGGCTTTGTACTTTTAAATCCGACTACTTTTTGGACTGATTTATTTGTGCGTCATTTTTTATATTATTCTGATGACAAAGTTCATGATGATTTACTGTTCTTTGTTCGCAAGCACCAGAAAAGGACATCGGCTCGATATATTCCACAATTCGAAGTATGTTGCATATATCCTGATTTATAGATTTTTTTAAAAAAGAAACTTTATTTATTTTGAAAAATATTTCAGTTCATAGTATTTTATGCTCGGATATTTGCATATGGACATAACTGATTTATAATATTTATTGCACATATTTTATTTATACCATTTGAAATTTTTACTAGATTAAATAGTTTACTAAGTACTGTTAGCACTGTATTAACACAACAGCCTTGGTACAATTTGGTGATTTTTTGCAGTTGAAAAGTAAAAGTTACTTATTGGGTGTCCTTTTTTTTAAGAAAGATTTCGAAATTATCAGTATTTATCTTAAGGCAATAAACATTATCAACATAGTATGAAAAGAAAACATATTTTAGCAATTTAAAATACAAATTTGAATTATTAAATGAGGATTACGTAATACATTACAAAATTAAAACATATTCTTCAAATCTTTTTGAAGTTTTTTTTGCATTTTTCTTCTGCCTAAGAACACAGCGATCTGCTTTCACTTAAAATAACATTAGAGAATTGCAGAGACTCGGCTTCGTACAACCTTTGGCAAAACAGTTATTTACAAAACACATTTCCTTGTTGTTCCCTTTAGAAAATTTTCAGCCAAATTTTTTATTCCTGCAGAAATTTTATCACTTTCATTGCTGGCAAATTCCACAAACTCATACTTTAAAACTGCTTAATAGTGTTATATTTTTTTCTTAAAAAAAAGTATTATGCTTGTTTCTGTTTATCAGATTGTAAATGTGATGATAAACACAGTATTTCTTTATGAGAAAAGTTGCTCTTGTAATTTTTGGGGGGACAATGGTTATGAAATATTTAAATTATAAATAAATTACACTGTAAATATTTTACAGACTCTTTTGTATTTCAAGGCCAGTTAATTTATATTGTTAAAAATGATATTCAACTTTTTAATATATTAGTGAAGTAAATAGGAAGTTGATCGGAAAGTCATGCCGTATTTTGCTAACAGATGTCGTTAGTGTGTTTTTTGGAGTAGAAGCACCGTGCGCACCCACCTCACTGAAATACTATGTAAGGTCACACTTCTAACCCATTCAATAAACAGAAAATTGTTCGATTTGAACGAGTTGAATAGATTTTATATGGAGTTGAAAATGGAGGGGAAAACTGTTGCTTTTCACTATATTTTTCTTTTTTTATTTCTGCAAAGGCAAGAGATGCTCTAACGACACATCAGTGCCAGCGCTGGTTTGCAAAATTCCATTCTGGCAATTTTGATGTGATGTGCCTTTGGTCAGGAAAGCCATTGGAGGCTGACGATGATGAAGTAAAGGCAGTGGTTAAGTCTGACCCCGCGGTACACGACACAAGGATTGCAGAGGCACCACATATTACTCAATCCACCACTCATGACCATTTAAAGAAGCTCAGATTTGTAAGCAAGCTTGAAGTTTGAGTTTCTCATGAGCTGAACGAGATCCATCTGTTGAAGCGTTTGAGCATCTTCCATTCCCTTCTTAAACATGAAGAAAATGACTCTTTTCTGAAGTGTACAGTCACTGGTAATGAGAAACGGATTGTGTACAATAATGTCGCATGCAAGCAGTCTCAGAAACAGTGCGATGAACCACCTCAGTCCACATCCAAAGCGATCATTCACCAGAAAATGCTCATGTTGTCAGTGTGGTGGGATTTCAAAGGTGTTGTGGTTTTGAGCTCATACCAAGGAATGAAATGGTTAATTCAGCCATGTACTGTCAGAAATTGAACAATGCAATCAATCAAAATCGGCCAGAACTCGTGAATCGTAAAGGTGTTGTGTTTCACCAAGACAATGCAAGACCACACATGAGTTTGGTTACCCGCCAAAAGCTGTTGGAGTTTGGTTAGGATGTGTTGCCCCACCCACCGTACTCCCCTGACCATGCACCTGCAGATGCACGATTTACCATTTATTTCGCTCTTTTCAGAATTCCTTGAATCATAAAACATTCGATTCCAATGACGCTATAAATCAACACGTGGTACAGTTTTTCACTTCTAAAGACAAGTCATTCTACCAGCATGGAATTATGAACCTTGTAGAACAATGGAAAAAGGTCATTGAACAAAATGACCAATACATTATCAATTGAATTCTTATTTTTATAGGAATAAATCACCTTTTAAAAAAGTGGTAAAAATACAACATGACTTTCCGATCAACCCGATATTTCATACTTATTTAAATGGTAAGTGCGAGTTGGTCCATTAAACAAAATGCTTGCTATTACAAAAATTAAAAATTGCTTAATCCACAGAAATGAATCTCATTGTTTGTAATTAGAAAGCTTTTTTAACTTCCTGAAGTACAAGAGAACAAATATTTATTATGTTACTGGACTTAAAGTTAAAGAAATAAGCATCTCGAATACCAATAAGGAATAACTGTGCTGATGACTGTCAGTCTGAATAGATCTGAGTAATTGTCTCTGTACTGGAAATTCCTAGAAATATTAAATGAAACTTTATTTTTCAAGCCTGAGAGGATTATCTAAAATATTATGTAAAACTGTTAAAGAATTTTTAAAGCTTGTTCCTAAAGAATGAAATATAATATTTTTTGCAGCCAGTATGTCATGTATAAAAGAAACACTGTCTTCTATTTATACCAAACTAGCAGCTAGGTAGCCGGCCTTCGTCTGGCTTTCAAATGTACCGGAAAATGCCTGAAGGGAACACCAAACGTTAAATTTAAAAACTGCACAGAATTTTACTCTGCAGAACAACTTCATAAAAAAAAAAGTATTACATATAACAAAATTACAATGAAATAAGCAATATCCCTTAGTACAAATATTAATTATCCTAATAAATAAATTAACCAACTTCCCGTTGCCTTCTCTCGACAAACGTCCAGTATCCAAGAGAAACATTAAATTTAAAAACTGCACAGAATTATCGCCGTAATTTTTCCAAGTGGCAACAGTGCTGATTTTCAACAGTCAGCAGTCCAGTGTACAGTTGGATGAAAAACTGTTGCTAAAAGAATGAAACTATTCAAAATGATACGATAAAATCGAAAAGATAAAGTAAAAAAAAAAAAAAAAAAATCTGATTTAAATTTTGAAAAAATCCCTTCGAGGTGCACTGGCTCTTATCTAGATGCACCTATATACCAAATTTCGTAGCCCTGGGTCTGTTAGCTTACATGCAGCACGAACGAAAGACACACAGACTCTTTCTTTTATTATATGTAGAGATTAGCTTACACAGAAAATATATTTTTTTAAATTAAACTATAAACATTGGCAAATAAAAATGTGACAGTCCACATACACAGCCATGTGCATTATGATAAGATTTTTTTTGTAAGTTGTTTCAGCATTCTGAATACTAATATGTAAGTATTTCTTGTATAGAAAGCTAAGATAAAAAAATAGTGATTATTTAGAAGTACTTTTCTTTCATAGTTGATGTTCTAGAAATATATTCTTGAAATATATTCTAGAAAATGAGATCAATATGTGGCATTTTACTACATGTATTCTGGGTACTTATATATTACTGCAACTACCTTAGTGCAATTTGGTGATTTTTTAAAGAAAGGTAAAATATATGGAACTACTCTTATATATGCCCTCGTTGTGAGAAACTCCACGGCGCCATAATACTATCTAAGTTTTTTTCATTTATTTCGAACTTTAAGCCTAAAATGTCTGCAAAAATGTGGTTTTTGCACACGCAAAAACCACATTTTTAACACACAAATTATGCCTAAACTCTGGAACAAAAACAAAAAATTTAGATAGCAAAAACAAAGTTTCTAACCAAAAATATTTGACAAGAATCCATGTACACAGCGATCTGTTTTAACTTAAAAAAAAATATCAGAGAATTGCATAATATATGCAGCAAAGGAATCTAAAAATTATGCACACCTCTCTAAACTAAACTAACATAACAGCAATAAATTTCAAACAATACCATGTACACAGCATTCTATTTTAACTTAAACATCAGCGAATTGCGCAGTCTAGGCATCCCTCACACCCTCGGCATTGCGCACAAATCAACAAAATAAACTAAAATAAATTAAGAACAGTTCAAAAAACAACAATAACGACAGAAATTCATAACAGAAAAACAATGAACATAACATTCTACAAAATAAGAACAACAATAAAATAAAATGCACTTAGCATTGTGAAAGCTAAAATAGAGCATTGGGATACTACTAGAAATCATAAGGAGGAAGTTCTTTTGACTCATCTTAGAATTGGTCACACTAGAGTGACACATAACTACCTTCTGAAAGCTGAAAACAAGCCTGTTTGTGCAAATTGTAATGTTTGTTTCTCACTCCATCGCATTTTAATCGAGTGTCTGTGGTGATGGCGATAAGGAGCGCGCCTTGCGCCCTCCGATAAGTGTGGCAACCCTAGAGGAGAAGTTTCTTACGAGTAGCGAGCAGAGCGAAACAGGCAGGCTGTCGGGCAGTGTGCGCGAAGTTCCGAAATAAAGCTTAATTTTTATTGTGCACTATGTCTCATTAATATTTATATCAATGCAGTAGGAACATAAATCTGTGATATGGAATTCGAGGATTGGTGGTAAAAACATATAGGAAATCACTATAATGGTAACCCGGACTGTGTTAAATCGTATGAACAGTTCTCAAGCACTTTCGGTTTTGACTACAAGCCATCACTCAAGATCTCCTAAGCAGAAGTAATGGATTACATCGGTTTTCGTCCTCCGAATCACAGATGAGTAGTAATTATAGATCATCTTATAATTCTGTTTTCTACTTATCATTTAATTTCATTTTCTATAGTTAAATTTTTGCTTTTATTTTGGCTTAAAAACCTTGCACAATGTCTGATGTTCATGCCGTCCAAATTCCGGTTTATAACCAATCAGACCCATCTTTATGGTTTATTATGTGTGAAAGTACCTTTGCTCTTGCCACCCCCAAACCTATCACAGAATCCATTACTAAATATAATTATGTAGTTGCTCATCTTCCTCCAGATATTGCATCAATA